ATTTCCGAAAAGAGTACCTTCGACACGCTGAGCACCAGCCATCTGAGCCAGCTCGGCGGCCGCAACAGCACAGCCACGGTCGTTGTGGGGATGGACAGAGACAACGAACTTCTCTCTCTCCGTCATGTTGCGGCAGAAATATTCAACCTGGTCTGCGAATACGTTTGGCGTCGCCATCTCCACTGTTGCTGGCAGATTGAAGATTATGGGGTTTTCTTCGGTAGGGCCCCAAGCAGCCTTGACGGCCTCGCAAATCTGGACTGCGAACTCAGGCTCGGTGTCGGAGAAGGTTTCGGGAGAAAACTCGAACTGCCACTGGGTACCAGCCATATCTGGGTCGTCCTTGGTTATCGAGCGGGCGTACTTGGCGCATCTTACGGCAATCTCAAGACTCTGTTCGCGGGTGGATCCGAAAACTATTCGGCGGAAACATGGGCTGGTAGCCAGGTAGATATGGAGGATAGCCTTCTTTGCGCCTTTGAGGGAATCGACAGTGCGACGGATGAGTTCTTCTCTGCAAGGAGACAGGACCTGGAGCCAGACATCGTCGGGAACGACGCCAGGTGTCTCTACCAGGCGCCGAGTGAAATCAAAGTCCGTTTGCGATGCCGAGGGGAATGATACTTCGATTTCCTTGTAACCGATGTCGACGAGCATCTTGAAGAACCGGAATTTCTGATCACCATCCTATATACATCTATACGTCAGAGGCGTCCAGAAAATTTGAACGAGATCCTCACCATCGGATCGGGCAGACTCTGGTTGCCATCTCTCAGATCAGTGGCCAGCCAGCGGGGCGGCTTGTCGATAACCTTATCGGGCCATTGGCGGTTAGGGAGATGCAGAGGCTTGAAGGGCTTGTACTTTTTCGAGGGATCTTTGAGCCTATCAAAAACGAGTCAATAAAAGAAGCTCGAATCCAAATCGTCATTTGAGGAGTTGGAGTAAACAACAAAGATCCAGGGGCAGAAGACATACATAGGCATGATGGCGGTATCGTGCGGTGTCCGCAGCGGGGTAGGGGAAGAAGGTAGAGAAAGTTTACTTCAGGATAGTGTGGCCAGAAGGAGGAAAGGGAAGACCAGACAATTGGCAGATAAAAGGTGCCTGAATGACACTAAACGAAAGATTTATGATCAGAGAACGATATTTAAGTAGAGGGAGAAATGTGGACGAGAGAGTTTGAGGAGTGAGTCAGTAGTATCTCCATCGTTCAATAACAGGTCATGACGCTTTCTCGCCGCCTTTCACATATTTTTTCGTCGATCCGCCGACAGCGGACGCGGGGGGCCTTAATTGGCGACTCTGATTGGCCAGGTGCTCAAGCGTGCCTCGCATAGTGGATACTTAATGTATATAAAAGTCCTGAGGCCACTGATGTTGGTGTCTCAATTGTTGCAGGTGTGTTCGGCAAGTGGCGATAGCCTGATGTTTTGAGCTCCTGAAGCGGATCGAGTGCAGTTTTTATCCTGGTTATGAAACTTTTTCCAGCCGTTCTATCTCTCCTGATGCTTGTCTGTATCTACTCAATGTGGGGGCCGATGATCGGAGACAATTACATGGGCCTCAGGCCATCAGGCCATGACTCCACCGTGGTTAACCGCCCGTAGCCGTTGACTGAGACTGAAACGATTGGTTCAAACAGTCATGCCCTACGATAGAGGACTTGAATAGCTTCAATCTGAGTCATTTTGGGAGAGGGTGGATATATACGGCCGCTCTATGCAGAATGTAAAGACTAATGTACCAACGGCCACTAAACCAAAGGCCTTGAAGAGATATTCACAACCTATATTAGGTCCTAATGCAATTCTATACACAATTGATGTAGTCCCCTTCTCATTTATTTCCCTTCATCTTGTTCTTACTCTTCTTGTCACTTTTGTTCTTACCCCCTTGGTTCTTCCCCTGCTTGGGAGCTTCTCGGTCCGCCTTGCCCTTCTTCCAACCGATATTCCCCTCGTGACGCTGGCGCGCATCGTCCAGCCGTTTCTTGTCCTTGTTGCTCAGCTTTACTTTATCCTTCTTAGATGGCCCGTTGAGCTCCGTAGCGCCCAATTTGCGCGCTGCACGCTTGTCGCGTTCAGTCTCGAACCATGTGCGCTTCGGCCGCGACATGATCTCGGCTTCGTGCTTCATCATATTCTCTCCCTTGGTCACTTGCATCTCCGCCTGTGCCATCTGCTTCTCCAACTTCTCCTCTTGTAACACCTCCTCGATCTCATCTTCCAAGCCCTTGGCCTTAGCGGCCCAATCGTCCGCAACGGATGGGTCAACAACGCGGCTGACAATCTTGGCCCCTTGTGTTTTGCCGGCCCTTACGGCCGACTTGACGATCTTGCGGTCTGGCTCGGCTGCAATGGTACATGCGCGTCCGGAACGGCCCGCACGCGCTGTTCGACCAACACGATGCAGGTAGATCTCGTGGCTCTGAGGCGCTTCGTAGTTGATGACCGTTTCGACACCCTTGATATCCAGACCACGGGACGCCAAATCAGTAGCAAGGAGGAAGGCTACTTTGCCTTCTCGGAAGTTCTCGACACTTTTAATACGCTGCAGTGCTGTTTAGTCCCATTTCAAGTAGTTATCTCAGCTCATAGGTTGACATACCTGTTCTTGGCTCATGCTACCATGAAGCTCTGCCGCTTTGAGTCCCAATAGCCCAAAGACAATGCGAACCCGATGAGCCTCGCGCTTCTGTCGGAAGAAGACGATAACCCGTCCAGTGTAGACTTCGTTGCACAGGTACAGGAGATATCCCAAACGCTTGTCCTCTCTACCTGGCCGTAACCGCACGAACTCCTGGGTCAGGTTCACGGATGTATTCTTCTTCGAGTCGACCATCAAGCGAACGGGACGGTTGAGACCAACCCGAATGAGCTTGTCGACGGAGTCTGTCATTGTAGCCGAAAAGAGCATTGTTTGCCGCGACTTGGGAATGGTTGTCAAGATTTCGTTGAGTTCGTCAGCGAAACCATCTTCCAACATTCGATCGGCTTCATCAAGAACCAAAATCTCCAGAGTGTCGACAGTGAAGCTGGGGGAATTCCGCATGTGGTCGATAAAACGACCAGGAGTAGCAATGATAACATCGGGTCGCTTTTTCAAGATATTCTCCTGCTCGCGAAGACTGAAACCACCCACAAGTTGACAAAAGGTAACATCAGTATGAGTAGCCAGTTTTGTAGCCACATTGTAACACTGAACCGCCAGTTCACGAGTGGGCATAAGGATGGCAACACGACTTGTGGGGACTTTTCGAGGGCGGAACAGCAGACGCTCGAGAATGGGAACAACGAACGCAGCAGTCTTTCCTGAGCCAGTAACAGCACTACCCACGATGTCTTTGCCAAGGAGAGCCATGGGGATCGTCTTTTGCTGGATGGGAGTCGGCGTAGTGAAATTGACAGATGCCAGACCACGGAGGATGGGTCGAGACAGATTGAAGTCCTGGAATGACCGATTGGAAGTCGATGCGGTTGTAGACTTTTCTTCAGGCGCGAAGAAAGCCTTGCGCTTCTCTGCTTCTTCAGCGTCAACCTCGCTCTCCGCTTCGGATTCCTCGTCAGAAGCTGCTTCGTCATCCGGATGGTGTACTGGGGTCGCAACCGAGTCGTTATCGGAAGCAGCATCATCATCCTCCTCGCCCTCGCTGCCCTGTTCATCCGCATCGTCGATGTCACTGGAATCGTTCTTCACATCGTCGCAGCTCTCATCCGCACCATCGGCACCCATACCAAATCCGTCTGCAGCAAGCAATTCGTCGTCCTGAAAGTCCACAGACATACCACCATCAGAGTCGGCATCTTCATCTTCACTCTCCTCCTCTTCTTCCTCCTCCCTCCTCTTTTTCTCCTTCTGCTGCTTCTTTTTCAGCTCGGCCTCTTTCTTCGCTTTCCTCCTGGAAATGATATCATCAATATCCACGGCCTTCTTATCCCCATTTTTCGTCGCATCCGCAGGTCCATTCCCATTTCGCGCTTCCCACCCATCAAATCCCTCGATCACACCGGTATTAGCATTGCCGCCAACGTCGAACTCGAACTCCGAGTCCAACGCCCCATCATCCTCACCAGCATCCATAGCTTCAGCCTCGTCCTCTTCGCCGGATTGTTCGTCAGATACTGCGCCAGCGGCGCTCTCGCCCTTCTTGCTTTGCTTCAATTGCTTCTGCTTCTTGTTCTTGCCTTTTGGTGCCTCCGCCGCCTCTCGTTTGCGTTTCTTGGAGCTGGAAATACTGTCTTCCTCGGCGTTGTCGCCGCCTTCCTCAACACCGTCCTCGAGGACATCGTTCTCGTCGTCCGATAGTGTGAGCACGAAGTCGTCATCTTTGGCGGCAGCCCGCTTTTTTATCGCGGCATTGGGAGCCATTTTTCTAGGAGACCAACCGCCGATTGGTCGTCGAAGTGCAAAGAGGCGAGTATTAGTCTGTAAGGCTTCGCACAGAACAAGTGATAATAATGTAGAGGAACTCAAACTGCCCCTGTTTTCCCTCCCAGGACTACTGGCTATCTGCTTTCTCTTGAGCAGAGAGGAAAGAAAAAAGTTCAAATTGCGAAGGCGGTGAATCTCAAGCGTGGCAGAAAATACCCGCAAAGTTGTTCTGCAACTCTGATTGGCTGTTTACTGAAAGCCGGACAGTTTTATCAGCGTTGGCTTACTAAGGTCCGTATCAAACCTACTATTATCTAGCTTACCACCTATGTCCAAACCATATGGATTCAATACTTCCAAAGAGATACTTTTTTCCTTTTTCCCCTATTGATTATGAGGCTCTGTGTGTCAAGAGAGCGACGGGATGTTCATCCCTTTTGGGATATTGAAATCTCCTTTTCTTGAACTACCACTGTTCTCCTCAACTTTGCTAGATTCCAAGCCTGACGAGAGAACAAGGGGACACAAAGAAGGTTTCTTAAGATGAGATGACGAAGAAGCAAGGACAACTCAATCTGCAGAACAAGGAGAAGACGCCCACACAAGCTCCGGAAAGGTTATCCCTTTCAAGCATGAAACGCATCACCATCGTCGTAACCAGCTTTGCGAATAAGGTAGCTGACATCGAGGCTATGAGAGCGTTTTGGTAAGTCTAGGGCTCATGCGATCAATGATTCAATGAGGGTTCACTTACAATCGCTCGAACTTGACTCGAGCTCCCTTGAGCACGCCTTGCTGTTCAAAGTGGTAATCCCTTTCAAGCCAGTCGATGAGCCACTTGATCTGGGATCGCTCAGAAACCGAATAGCTGATGGTAAAGCCAAGGCGTTTGAGAGTTCGGGAACCGCCTGGGTAAAGGCCAGTCTTGTCATCGCAACCGGCATCGTAAAAGAACCCCCTTTTGGGAACGTAAGTAGCGTCACACACTTCGATGAGTTTGTCCAAGAGACATTTTCCGATGCCTCGGCGTTTATGGTCCGGCTTGATGAAGATCTCTAGCTCCACTGTGTACCGTCCCGTGGTCTCAAGCCCCAAGGAATCTGTAGCCAAAGCATATCCGAGGATCTTTTCTGGGGAGTCGTCGGCGGATGGTCCGCGTCTGCGCTCTGCAGCCACAATAAATGGCAATTTTGCACGTCTGCTATCCTCAATTCGTTGGCGCACATCTTGTTCGTCAAGTGTTCCTAAGCTTGAACTCAGGTTTGACTTTTGGCTATACCAATTCAAGATCATGAGCAGTCCTGGTACGTCACCGTCTTCAACACAGCGAAGATAGACATTTGCTCTAGGACTGTTTGGATCTTTTGGAGAACAGACCTTCAGACCTTCTATGAAGGCATCTCGAGCTTGTTTCCTGCGCGTCCTCGCCTCCTCTTCTGCTGCTTTGATATGCAATGCGAGGTTATAGCAGTAGCCTTCGGCGGTTTCATGATAATGGAGACGTGTCGCTTCATTAGTCATGTCCAAACGAGTCGGAACGTCTCCCAAGTCAAGAATATACAAAGATTCGATCCCATCCATATGCGCAGTTCCATCAAAAAAGGCTTGGTGGTGGATGTCAATGTTGCAGCTATCGCCTGTCTCCATCTCCAGCCAATGACGGAACCAATCACGAAAGCCTTCATAGGTAGAGCAAGCACGAGGACGCATTTCCCACCTATCCTCCCACTTAATCTTAGAGCAGTTCTCTGGTGTATGTCCGTCATCCTGATTGCCAGTCTGGCGCTCAGCATTCGATGGAGTTACCTGAAGCCGTTCATGCTCCGCACTTGGGTAGCGAGAAAGAAAGACCTGGCCGTCAACGATGGCCGGATACACGGACATGCTGTTATGATAAGATTCGCACTGAGCGTCAAGTCTGGCAGCGTAAAATTTCTGGACGTGAGACCTGATTTCATCAACGAAGTATCTATCATCCAGGTCCCCTTCAAACTCGTCCTCTGGGATAGACCTTGGGTTGGAAGAAATTTCATTTTGATTGGTTGCAAGTCTACACCTTGCGATTCTCTTGTAGACATCTGATTTTGGATCGGTTCCTGGCCCGTCCCTGCATTTCGCAAGGCTCTCTGGATTTGCTGTGTCATCTTCATGGTCTCTGTAGCGATTGAGATGGGCTTGCAAAACAATCTCTTCTTGAAGGCGCTTTAACTCATCTAGAGCCTCTTGAGATGGAGCCTTGTTTGCGGTCTTTTGCACGCCGGACGAAATTTTGATCTGGCAGCCAACATCGTCCTGGGGAGTGTGATTTTCCAACGCAGCAGGTCTGTTTGATATCCCATTGGGATTCTGCCTCGGTACTTGCTGTGTTGTTCCTGAACTAGCCCTATATCGGGAACCGCTGTTCAGACGTGCGCTTCCACCCCGAAGCTGTCTTTGATTGCGACCTTTGAAATTGGCCCCTCGATGCATGACGACTTCGTCGGATCCATTGCTGTCAGTTTTGTTTGGACGGTCTCCTGCTTGATCTGACTGCTAGTTAGCTTCCTGAAGCTCGATCTTTGGCCAAATTGAGAAGGAGCAGGTGCTACTCACCCATATTTGTATTTCCTTGTGAAGGAAGTGATATCCGAGCTGGATTAGCGTTGATAACTTGACTCAATTTTGATCTCTTCTGTGGGGTGTGAGGCTGGTGCGAGAGGTGGGTGGAAGCTGGTGCTCTGCTATGGAATTTCTTAGGTCGCCAGTCAAAGCGCGAGCGGGTTCTGTAACTGCCTGAGGCCTCCTTATCTTCCTCTCTTGCACTTTGTCTCTGGTGCAGGGCTTCAGAACTGGGAATAGAAGGTCCCTGAATTCTCAAAACTAAGCAAGCAGGGGATTTTGAGGACTCGGCGTTATTCAGTCTCTCTGAGTCATCTTGTGATGCTCCGAGGTTGTGTGTTGTGGAGTGAATAGTGATCTGCCCGTCCGTTGGATTTGGAGCCGGACGGTGGTTGTCAAGCTGAGTCTTAGGAGAGTCTGTCTGTTTTGGTCTTCTCTTTCTGAAAGCACGAGCCTTTGCGAAGGTTGAGGGGAGATCGTTTGTGGCTTGAAGCCCTGACTCAGGGGAGGCAGTATCTTGCTGGGAATGAGTCTTCGACTTACTGGGCCTACGCCTGCTTGGGGCATTCGGCTGACCCTGATGAGCTTGCTTCTCCATGGCGGCTAGTCATCAATGAATGGTGTGGATGACCTAGAAGAGAATGTTCCGGACCAGAAGATGTGAGTATCATGAGTCACCTTGCAGGGTGCATGGAGGGAAGGTAGGTCTTAAGCGATAGTTAGGGCAAGTTCAGTTTGAAGTGAATATGAAGTGAAAGGAAAACAGGTATTTCCTGCTGAGTTACTAATGATAGAAAACTGTAGTGAAACAAGCACTTGTCTAAGGCACTAATAGATTATGATATGGGCTTATAATTAATGACAATGGGTTTATAACACTCTTTGAGACCCCTGGTATATTTGCTATTCCTAAAATGTTATTACAGTCACCTGTAAGGTCTATTTAAGGTGGGATATGAGGAGTATAGGGCTTCTCAAGGTAGAAGAGAGCTTTAGAAAGCATCTGTACACTTAAGCACAGAAAATGAGTGCAAGGTAAAATCAAATTAGAAGTAACCTATTAATGAGCAGTATTCACATTACATTAAATACTATACAGAATTGTTGGTGATCGATCTGCTGGATTAGCTCTAATTATGACTGATCTCTATCCTTCGCCTGTATGTGGGCGTTTTATCCAACTACAACTAAGCCAACGCAACAGATTCAAGAGGACACATTTGGCCAAAATGCTGTCAATATTGAGAAAAGCTCGCTTAAAGGACAAAGAGATGAGGATTCTGATGCTGTAAGTCTTTCGGAGACCAAGGAATGACTGATCTGGATGCTCATAATCGATGCTAGTGGTCTTGATAATGCTGGGAAGACGACGATCGTGAAGCAGATTATGAAGGAAGATGTCACAACTGTCAGCCCTACACTGGGCTTCATTATCAAAACAATAGATTTTGAAGGGTAATTTCATCCCTAAAGACCTCGATCACCTTGATTACTGACTCCGGACACAGATATAAATTGAACATATGTGAGAGAAGCCAACAGTCAAAACTCCGCAAGGATCTTCGATTGACTTTTTGCCGCCAGGGGACGTCGGGGGACAGAAAACCCTTCGGTCATACTGGAAAAACTACTTTGAGAAGACCGACACACTTGTCTGGGTGGTAGATGCAACAGACCGTCTTCGAGTTGATGATTGCCGGGATGAACTCGCGGGCTTACTCCTCGAAGAGGTACGGTTACCAAGTTCCCCGCTCGCCTGCGAAATTTTCGTCCATGAGAATCGGGTTGGCTAACGCCCTCCAGCGCCTGATGGGAGCAAGTCTCCTGATATTCTTGAACAAGACAGATGTAGAGGGATGTATGACGGAAGAAGAAGTCCGTGAAGTAAGTTGTTGTCGCGTCTTGACATATTTGTTGGGCTCTACGGACATCTACTGACCTCTCTCTAGCGGCTTCGCCTAGATTCAATAAAGACCCATAAATGGACTATATTGCCCTGCAGTGCCATGACAGGCAAGAATCTCCGTGAAGGCTTACAATGGGTGGTGCAGGATGCAAAAGACAGACTTTTCCTCTACTGACCCTGTCTCTACCCGCTTCTGCCGATTACGCTTGAGCGTCTAGGGTTTCCAACTCCAATACAGATTTACGTTGTTGATGCTTCTTGAGTCAGATCGGCCCTCGAGAAGTCATTGATTCACGAACGCTAAGATGAAATGAGCCTGTCGTTTTTCGATCCAGCAGACACTCTGTGTTGGTCTATATATGTGTCGGCAACCAACCATTTAGTTGTCTCTTAAGCTTTGAAGAAAGTCATGCCCTCATTCTGTTACTTTCTCCCTCAGGTCCCGTATTATTTGATCTCAACCGACTATCACTCATCCACATGGAAAAAAAGGGTAGAAAAAACCACAAATAAGTGCGATCGCCTTCTCAGGCTGTTCTCTCTCCACAATCGGGCTGCAAGTAAGGCCCTGGAGGCCCGATAAGCGATAAGCGGCACCGAAATTCTCAAGGAGTATGGTTAGGGAGTCCAAGAAGGAGACAAGAACATCTCGACGGCCGATTGTGTGTTCCAAATATTAGCAGTCATCAAGCTGACGGTCGCACAAAGTTTTCAGTAAAGTAAAGTTAAACACTTTGTGGCTTAACAAGGGATAACGCTATTCGAGTCAACATTCCATATGATGTCGTGATATGCATCCAAAACTCCATGAGTTCACGATACTTGAGTAGGTATGATGACATCCGTTCTGTTTCTAGAAGACTAGGCCGCTAAGTCAACCCGAACCCAGATACCTGATAACTGTCTAGCATCTACTCTCTAACTATCTAAGACACTACAAAACTGGTTTCACAACTGTTACTGGATCGCGGGGTGGCAGAGAAGGTCCACCACATAGCTGCTCGTATCAACCTTGGTAAACAGTCTTCCATGTTGAGAAACATCAAAACAAGCGGCTGTGACCCCATGCAAACAAGCCATTTTGTGTTCCTTCAGTGGCCATTTCAGTGCTACACAGGGACCAGATACCTCTTTAAAGTTCTGAATGATGACTACGGAGTACTAGTCTACTATCTACAACACTGCTGTATGACTCCAATGTCTTGCCAATCATCGAAAAAAGGGAGACATGCACTGGGCGTTGGTGTGGATGGATACTCAGGTAGACGCCTGAAACGAGCGTGTCGGGCGCATTTTCAGCAAGGACGCGGTGGGGCTACAGCTACAGGCTGATGTGTGCTCGCAGTTTTTGTGCGTCCTGCGTCCTGCTGAGCGAGTGAGGCAGCTGAAAAATAATAATATTAGTATCGATCCAAATATGACACTAGTAAAGTGACTTGTACTCTTCGAGTCACCACTTTTTGCCTGGATCCACAAGCGCCAGTGAGAGCAGAAAAGAGCGTGACGTCCCACAACCAGGGTTAAACAGTTCCTGGGATCCTGACTAGATTAACCTGAGACGCGCCGTGGGAGACGCTGGGAAGTACCACTCCCTTACTCGAACACTATCTACTATCTACTATCTATCTACCTAGGCTGTTCGATAAACATCGACTTATCCCCTTCCCCTCCATCGTCCACTCAATCATTACGTTTGCGCTTTTTCTTGTCAGGACCCCACACCAACCCGGTTCAGTCTACTGGGTGATCCCGGCCGATTATTCTCGTTATTATTGCTTTTTTCTTCTGATAATTTCCTTTCTCACCTTTCCGTTTCTGTTTGCTTGTGCATTCTCATATCTAGGGTGCCATGACAATTACTACCGATGCGGACGGTTCAGAGGATGTCAATGACTTCCTCCAGCGGATTCGGGAGCTAGGCGAGAAACGTGATAAGGAGGACGAGGAACGGACCAAGAAGTTGGAGGAGGAAATCATGCAGAGTCGCAAGGAGAGGCAGGCTCGAAGAGCTGGTATTTGGCGTCCCTAGTCTCCCAGTCATTCCAATCAATTTGCTTTTGTCGTCTCGATCCATTGGCTGCCCCAGCCCTCGGACAATTAAATAATCAAAGGCTGATCTTGTTCATCTTCTTTGCCGACGGTGTGTAGAACGAGCGCGGTCAATTTCGCCAACAAAGGACTCCCCCATCTTGGATTCCGCTCGTTTAAGCATTTCTTCCCTCAGCCAACGTGGGATCGAGCCTCCGGAACAACTCTCGCCCACACCTCGGACACCTGAACATGCCACAGGCGCCAGATCCGACCCCTTTCGAGACGACACGTCAATTGGTACGGATGGTGATCTGGAAGGGTCAAAACTGGATGGGAGGGAGGTGGAATCCTCACCGAGAGCAACTACTATCTCACCTCTTGCGCGCAGTAGAGCAGGGACCCTATCCTGGCAACAACGACCGTCTTCTCGGGATACGAGCGGCAATAGATCATTTTTCCCTCCCTCTCCTACGCGCTCACCGACCCGTCTCAATCGCCTGAGCGGCTTGTCTAATTTCTCGAACGATGATCACAAAAGCCTTCGCAGTCCCTTGACGCTTTCACCTTCCTCTAAGGATGTTCCCGCCGCTCAGGAAACAAGAGCGGAGGAAACTCCCGACTCAATGACTAGAGAGATTGCCAAGAAGAAGCCGGACGCTGAAAAGACTGGTCAGGGGTCAACCCACACAAATGACGAAGGCACGGAAACGAATCCAGAATATCTCCCTGGGGATGAGAAGCAGAAATCGCAACCGGAAGTTGGAGAAGAAAGATCGCGTTCCCCATCCAGGGCAAGCTCGACTTTCGGGGATAGTATTTTGGGACATCGATACTCAAGTGTATCTTCTGTCTCAACGGCAACTGGACTCGGATCCCCGCTACCCCTTTCAAGCGTCCAAAAACTCGAGCCAGAACAGGTCGCGACACCTCCCTCCCCGAGGCGCCTTTCTCCCGAGCGTTCACGTTCAACGTCGCCGACGAAAGGTCTTGGAGGCTTTGTGCAAAGCGCCATGATGAGGCGATCGGATAGTGTCTCGAAGCGATGGAGTGCACAGTTACCGTCAGGGGTAAGCCGAGGCTATTCCTTTGCCAGCAACCGCAATAGCATTGCTGGCCCAGCGTATGGCGATGTGCATGCTCCTGCATCTCCGTCGAGGCTTGGCCGCGAGGACCCGTTCCTTGCGTCCAAGAGACCAAGTTCCAGCCACAGCGAGGCAACGATTGTCCACAATGCAAAGGAGAGAGAAAGGCCGGCAACGCCGCCAATGGGGAACAAGGCGGAGAGAGACGAAGCTACCGCTAGACCTACGCTTCACATGAGAGCTCCCAGTGCATTAAGCGCAAATGGACACGACTCCGACTCGAATTCGTTGCCGTCCGCGAGCCCCGTTGTCTCGAGGACCATGGATCCCAGGCGCTGGAGTCCCACAAAATCGACATGGCTGGAGAGCGCTCTTAATCGACCTGACTCACCAAAGCACAAAAGGCAGCCCTCACAGCAAACATCATGGGCGAAAGATCGACAATCAAGGGCAAGTGTCGACCTGGGCCGCGTGAATAGCTTCAAGGAAGTCACTACGGTCGGCCTCATGCGTTCAGCTGCACCTGGTAGTCACTATAAGACCCCGAGCGTTTCTGGGATCCCGGATCTACCAAGTAATCTGGATATCAACAAATCTAAGGAATCCAGGGACCAACTGTTGTCCAACCCTGAAGATAGCGAGCCCAAGCCTGCAGAGACACCCAAGGTTGAAACTGCACCCAAGGCTGAGGATCCTCACGAATCCGTGGATACTAAGCCCGAAGATTCTCCTACAAAGCAAGAAGGTGGACCGGAAGGCCCAACACGCAAACGTGCACCTTCCCTCCTAGTACCCGTCAACAAAACTGACATCTCTCCACCTCTCTCATCTCCTCGAAACCCTTTATTGAACAGACAAAAGCCACAATCTCCTGTGATAGATTTCCGAGCCAATTTGCGAAAGCGAGAAATTATCAAAGATGAAGCACCGAAACAGGAACCGGAGTTCAAGAATCTGTTTGGCAAATTAAAGAAAGCCGAGTCTTCGACTTACGTCGCCCCAGATGAGCTCAGAAATAATATACTGAAGGGCAAAGCAGCGCTGAATGCGACAGGCGGCCCGAAGAAGACCCCAAAAGTTGATGATCTGAAGGAAAGTATCTTGAAGCAGAAAGAGGCAATCAAAGCGAGCGGAGGCTCACTGAGGCGTAACACGGCCGGAGAAATGGATGCTCCTGCGGAAATGATTCCAGAAGCAATTGCCAAACGGAATAACCTGTCTAAATCTAGCAACAGCAGTAGGAGCACTCATTCGGTTGGTGCCTTGACCTTGCCGTCATCTGAGGACTACCCGACACCGAGCGGTCTCACGAATGACCAGCAATCACCTCCTTCCCCGCGTAACAACGAACAGGCGCAGGAGGCCCAGAGCTCGCAGACTACAGCAGAGGTTTCAGAGCCCAATGGACCGAAAGACCAGGTTGCAGATTTGGCATCTTCTGAGGCTGGAAATGTGGAGACCAAGGGCGACGGTTCTGAGAATCGGTCGATCGCACACACAGCGGTCGCTGCAGAGAACACTTCTGAGATAAGGAACAAGCAGATTGAAGAGGCCATCAAACCGGTGCGTGCTCTGCCGTCGGGGACTGTTGCGGAGGCTGCAGAAGCGCCTGCTGCTACTGAAGGTCATGCTACTAAAGGTCAACTCGTAGGCCGAATAAACCCTGCCTTGGCAGGTCTTTTGTCTCGCGGCCCTCCTATTATCAGTGGGAACTCAAACAAGCACTTCTCGAGAGACTCAATGCGAGAAGGTAGCTCCGAATTTCCTGATAGTCAGGCTACTGCACCCCTTACCCATATGACGAAGAACCGTGCGAGGGGGCCAAAACGGCGCCTGCCCAAGCTTGCAGCCACGGAATCAACGACGCCGCTGGTGAACAATGCCGCGACCGTTCCAGAGAACGATATCTCTTTATCAGA